CATATTATACCAATTATACGGTATAATTTTAATTATACTATACCAATTATACGGTTATTATACCATTTTTTTTATACGGTATCGTATAATTGCCCATCCCTAGTATCAAGTATTACGTAGATACGTAGTTACGTACGTACGCACGGTCGTACGTACGTACGTACGCACATAGTTATAATTCTTCAGTACACATGTACTGCACTGTTTCCAAAAAAGTCTAGATGTTCGTATCGGTATTTCCGGTTCCCAATAAATCGGAATGATCACAAACTCTAATCAACTTTCAAAATTTATAATTTCTAATATAAAAAAAATTTTTTTTTTACGCACGAATAAACGAATAAATGGAAACAGAGCCAAGTGTTAAGCAAGTTAAAGAAACCTCTTTGCAAATTGAACAATATGACCGTTCAAAGTTTTCAAATCCCGAAAGAGTTGGTACTGGAGCATATAAGAAATTATATCGAGCTATTTCAGAAAGCGATGATATGGTCGTTGCTTTGAAACAAGTGGATATTAAAAATGAAAAAGAACTTTTAAAAGAGGTGAATATATAATGTCATAATAAAGAAAGTTTCAGATATTTTATTAACTATTCAATCACTTTTTTTTTTTAAGATTGAATTACAATTCAATGTGAATCATCATCCTAATATTATCAGATTTTATGGCATTACAGAAAGTAAGTCATATTAAAATTAATTTCATCTTGCTTCTTTAAGACCTTTTGTTTACTTTCAATTTTATTAGTAATGCCATCAAATTATATGCTGATGTTTGAGTTTGCTGATAATGGAACTTTATGCGAATATTTGCATACAAAGGTCTTGACATGGAATGATAGATTTAAGCTTGCTTATCAAATTGCTTCCGCCATTAAATGCCTTCATAGCCACAATATTGTGCATGGGAACCTTGTAATCATTTATATATTATATTGTTTCTTTAAAAAATTCATGCATCAGTACATTATATAACTTACATTAATCAATTCACATCTATAAAGAATTCATTTAATACTTTAGTTCATCAAGATAATATTAAAATCAGCGATTTTGGACCTTCAAAGAATTTAATTGATATAAATATAAACCCATATTTTCAACCCACAAGTCTTATGGCGTACAAAGAGATGGAATCTCATGATATTCCTGATAAAAAAGTCGATATTTATTGTATTGGGATACTTTTATGGGAATTGTCAAGTGGACATCCTCCATTCAGAAATCGCGATGCTGCATTATTCTTATACGACTTTGCGAATGAAATGAGAGAAGAGCATGTTCCAGGAACTCCAGAACAATACAATCAAATTTATACTGGTGTGTAGTGCAATTAAATTTTTATACTAAACTTTCAAAGTTTAATAAATAAATACACCGTCTTTTTGATAGATTGTTGGCAAAGCAATAGATCGAGACGTCCGGATATTATCGAAGTTGCAAATTCGCTTAAAAGATTAATGTCAAGTCATGTATCTATTTCTGTCAATGAGTAAGTATGAAACTAATACTAAAATACATCAAATAATTATAGCTTATTAGTGTCAATTATAATTCATTAATTATTATTTCCCAAGGGCGTAAGTATTAAAAAACGGTTATATTTGATATATTTTTGATAAATTTTCAAAAGCTAAATGCTTGTAAATTTTACTAGAGAGTAAGTAGAAATTTTAATTATAGATTGTATTTTCAATTTGAATTATAATTGAATCTCATTTTTATGTTCTTGTTTCAAAGAAAAATGGGTGATAGAGAGAGTAAAAAGTCCATTACAGAAAGATATTCTAAAACTAAGGAACAAGTTAAATCATATAATTTAATATTTGACAGAGAATTTAATACACACAGAGGAAATAATATAATTATAAATGAGCATTTACCAGAAATTCGTTTAGAACCCAGAATGGAAAATAATCATTTACAAGAAATGCAAATAGATCTTAATTTAGCAGAAAGAATTGATAATAGAGTTATATCACACCAATCTGTGGATGACAATACTCAACCATTCAATTCTTTATTTAAAACGGTCACAGAAATAATTGAAAAAATGTTGACAATATATGAATCTGCTGAATGTAGTAAAAAAATTTGTTGTGCATTATTATTTCGAGCTGAAATAACACAAACTTGTATAAAGAATTTACAAAGAAAACGTCAAGCTAATGCTAAAAATTTTCGACGACAAGATTATTATCTTACTTGGGTTAAGTTTATTAATGTTTTAAAGAATATCATGATATTTTCTGAAGAAATTACACAGTTATCATGGTTCAGAAAGTTTTTAAATATCAATATGGTTATAGATACTTTTTATACAAATATTGTAGAATTCGAAGATTCTTGTTATGATTTAAATTTAATTTCAGCTGTGTACAGTGCTGAACAAAGAGAAAAAGAGGCACAAGATGTAGCTTACGATATTTTAATTTTGAGAAAGGTAAATTTGCTTGTTTTTTTTATTGACAATGTTAACTTCCCATAACATTAACATAATATTAACAAAAATATCTAATTTAATTAATAAATAGTCATTGGATGGAATGCAACCCGAAATTAAAACATTAACTACAGAGATTGCTGCATTGAATGCTGCAAAACATTCGTTAAAAAATGCTAAACCTGAGATTATAGCTTCAAATGTTCCAAGAAGACTGTGCAAAATACCTCGAATAAATTCAGAGGAACTAAACGATCTACCTCCTTCTAAAGATAATAGACGTGGATCGATCACAAAAAAAATCTTTCGTGGAAAAGAAGTTGCATGTGAAAGCACTTTTGATAAAACAGAAAAACCATTTAAATTTGAAATCCTTCATTTATTAGGATCAAATCCATTTATTATCACTTTTTATGGACTTTCTGTTGATAATGCTATGATTCTTGAATGGGCTGAACATGGAAATTTAGAGGAATTATATACACGTTATAAGATTGATTGGAATATGAAATTAAAACTCGCTTATGAAATATTTAATGGTCTTGTATTTATGCATCAATGTGGAATGCATCATCATAATATTCGTTGCAAAAATATTTTGGTATGCAATTATTAATATTCAAAAAAAAAAAAAATATCATCGAATGAGCATGATTAGAGTAATTATAATGTTTTATAATTCTTATTAATAATAGATTACAAATAAGCTTGAACCAAAAATTTCAATTTATCGTGGATATAGAGAAAAAGGTTTTGTCTACGTTAATATGGATGAAACATTTCGATGGTTAGCTCCAGAAAGAATGAAAAATCCTATCCCTCGGTATAATAATCAATCTGAAATATTTAGGTAATACTTGATAATATCATGCCATTTAATAAAATTCTTTTTAAAGTTTGTTCGATATATATATATATTTAATATTTCTGATTATAGCTTTGGTATGCTACTCTGGGAACTTTGTTATCAAAAAATGCCTTATGAAGGAATGGATCTGACCAAAATCCTAGATCACATTAAAAATAAAAAACGTGAAACTCTTGAAATTGTTTTTCACTCATCTCCAATTCCAAGAGAACTCGCTAGAATTATTAAATCAGGTAATTAATTTTTTTCATTTACTAATATTAAATTGTAATTAATTAAATGCCTAAATATCAAATTATTATTTTTTTTGGTTGTTAAGCTTGGGAAGAAGATCCTTCATCTCGTCCCTTGGATTTAGAGTTACAGTTGAAGTTGGGTGAATTACATAATAAATATTTTTCGCATGATATCATGCTAAATTTGGAATTTCTTCGAAATCGAAATCGAAGTAGTTCTCACCTTATTCCACAAAGTTTTAATGGAAGTTTATTTGATGTATCTAATGAATTTGATATATTTAATTCTGATTCTTCAATACAAACTTTAACTCCTCTTGAAGATGGTTTAAGAGCTCATAAAAAGAAAAATTATAAGGAAGCTTGGAAATGTTTTTCTGATCATGCAAACCTTGGAAATAATATTGCAAAGTATTGGAAAGGATATTATTTAACGTCTGGGTACTGCACTGAAAAAAATCTTAATGCTGCTCGTAAACTCTTTAAAGAAGCTGCTGATAGTGGTGTTGCAGATGCTCAACTTCGTTACGCATTTGCTCTTATAGAAGATAAACGTAATTTAAATGTTAATGAAATATTGAAATATATGAAGATGGCTGCTGATCGTGGAAATTCTACTGCACTTTACAATCTAGGTGACATTTATTGGAATGGAAAACTTAAGGTTCCAATTAATAAAACCAAGGCAGAATTATATATTAAATTGGCAGCCTTAAAAAATCAATCTAGAGCTGCTGAATTTTTAGAAAAAATTTATAGAGAATCAAAAAGAGATTCGGTAACTAGTGAAATGGAAATTGATGATTCAAAAACTATTGCAATTATTGGGCCAACTGATAGTGATGATTCAAAAACTATAGTGATTAGTGGAACAATTGTAATCGAACAACCAGCAAATGAATCAACAAATGCTGAAGAATCAACAAATGTTGGAGAATCAACAAATGTAGGAGAATCAACAAATGTTGGAGAATCAACAAACGTTGGAGAATCAATGAATATCGAAGAATCAACAAATGTTGAAGAATCAATGAATATCGAAGAATCAACAAATGTTGAAAAATCAACCAACGTCGGGGAATCAACCAATGTTGAAGAATCATCCAATGCTAAAGAATCAACTGATGTTAGAGAACGAACCAATGTTGAAAAACCAACCAATGTTGAAGAATCAACAAATGTTGGGGAATCAACAAATGTTGGAGAATCAATGAATGTTGAAGAATCGACCAATGTTGAAGAATCAATGAATATCGAAGAATCAACAAATGTTGAAAAATCAACCAATGTTGAAGAATCAACCAATGCTAAAGAATCAACCAATGTTAAAGAATCAACCAATGTTGAAGAATCTACAAATGTTGAAGAATCAACAAATGTCGAAGAATCAACCAATGTTGAAAAATCAATGAATATTGAAGAATCGGCAAATGTTGAAAAATCAACCAACGTTGAAGCTGAAGAATCAAGCAATGTTGGAGAACCAACCAATGTTGAAAAACAAACCAATGTTGAAGAATTAACAAATGTTGAAAAACCAACCAATGTTGAAGAATCAACCAATGTTGAATCAACCAATGTTGAAAAATCAACCAATGCTGAAGGATTAACAAATGTAGAAGAATCAACCAAAGTAGTAGAATCAATGAATGTTGAAGAATCAACCAAAGTAGAGGAATCAAAGAATGTTAAAGAATCAACCAATGCAGAAAAATCAACCAATGTAGAAGAATTAACTAATGTAGAAAAATCAACCAATGTTGAAGAATCAATGAATGTTGAAGAATCAACCAATATTGAAAAACCAACAAAACTTGAAAAGCCAACCAATGCTGACGAATCAATGAATATTGAAGAATCATCCGATATTGGAAAACCAACAAAGGTTAAAAAACCAACCAATGTTGACGAATCAATGAATATTTAAGAATCAACAAAGGTTGAAAAACCAACCAATGCTGATGAATCAATGAATATTAAGAATCAACCAATAATGAAAAACAAAGAAAGGTTGAAAAACCAACCATTGTTGAAGAATCAACCAATGCTAAAGGATCAATCGATGTTAAAAGATCAATTTAGGGCTGTTAATCAATCTATTCTGATAGTCCTTCGGCCCATCCAGGGATCGGCCAGTCCAGTTCTTTTTATGATGAGTTGTCTGTTCTAATAGTAAATATTAAATACTGTATTAAAGATTAAATATTAAAATTAAATACTAAATATTAAATATTAAATAATACGTATATTATCTTGATAATATGCATTTTAAAACACTATAATATATGTTTTTAGTTAAAACTCTTCTTATCTTGTCAATTATGAACCCTTAGTTTGTCAAACATATAATGAAAATGGGGAAATTTATTAATGATACATTGATCTACAATCTATGCCTATTTGCGCAAAATAGTGTTATTTTGAGACATAAGTTTGAAGCGAGCTAGCCGAAGATTTTTAATAACAAAAAATTATGATTTGCATTTAGCTAAATTAACTATTAAACTTGCCTCAAACTTGTGTCTTAAAATAACACCCATAGATGTTATTTTATGCGAATATTGTATATTGTTCAAAATCAGGATTAAGTGTAATCTGCTCGATTCATATGTAAGCTACTTATTACACTGCTGTACAACCTACACAAATATATAAATTACGGTCATATACTACATGTTAAAATATAATTTCCTATGATCTTAACACTGATTGAGGATTAACTTTCATTATTTTAACCAAACCGAATAATTGATTTGTTTAATTATCGTTATCCGGCAAACTCATATGATCATAATTAATTTCTGCACGTTATCTTATTGATATGACAACTACTTGTATATTATTAACATAGAAAAAAGCCTTTAACTGCAGTAATGATTCTTTTAAACATTATTGAAGCCTTTGATTCTCTAGAGTAGTTGATCCAAAATTGGTCCTTTCGTGGCTGTCATTTTTAACGTACTCCATTATTTGATTCATACTTGAAATTTCTTCATATAGAAATTTTTTAAATATCAATTCCCAAATCAGCATTATAAGGCATGTTTTATTGTTAAATAATATTTTGTTTATTATTAAAATTATAAACTAAAGAAATTGAAATACAGTCAAACCTCTCTATAATCACACCCTTGGTTTTAAGAATTTGGTGATTATAAAGAGTTTGTATTTATATAGAGTTTGAATTTTATAAGTGCTATATAATACAGATCAAATGAAGCCATATTGGAAATATGCATACCGGTTAAGAATTGGAGACATATTGGGAGCTGATATGTGCTAATATCTAGTATCAAAATATCATAGAGTTATTAGAAATACCGATAAACCTATCAGTATATCCAAAAATATCCTGATATGCTTTAATAATATAGGAATAAATCAGGAACATATCAAAATTTTGATATATCTATCGATAAATTTATAGAGTTATGATTTTTCTTAAATAGTTATAGATATTTTAAAGTAATATCAATAAAATATCGAAGTGCTGATAGTTATATCAGTAATTAATAAATCAGATAAAAATTATATTATACTGATAATAGATTTACATTTATAATTATTTGAAATTTAGCTGATAAACTTTATGTATATATGAAAATATCAGATACTATCGATTCTAAACTTTGAAATTTTGCTTAAATAATTACAAATTTAAATATGAAACTTTCTATTAACTGGAATGACAGACATATATTCTCGTGGGTTTTTTCCTGACTACAACTGTTCTGAATATAAATTTGCCTAAAATATTATAGATAGAGATAATACAATCTCTACTTAAGTTATAGTATTTTTTATTCCATAGTTCAATGTTACAAATATTACCAATTTGACAATGATATCTTATCTTTAGGTTATCAACAGCTTGATACCATCATACAAAAGTCAATACATGTTTTTTGGATCTTTCAGTAGATAAACCACATGTTCAAAATAATATTAAACAATACCAGAATATATGTTGAGATTATTATCGTCTAATATAAATTTTGCGAGTATTTTTGCTGATTTCATATATCTTTTCGAAAAACTTGACCCAAATAATTCATCCCAATTTTTATCTTTCTATAAATCATGATGCAAGGGAATACTATTATAAATGCTGGTAACCCAATATGTGTTTCAAATAATGAAACAAAATTATAATCATATGCATTGTTATAATAGTCTGTTAACAATGATATTAATTGTTTCAGAAGTTTCTATTGATCCTTTTTAGGATTTAATAATTTACCTGAGAATGGTTTAGAGCCTATTCCAGAATTTTTTCAATATTCACAAACATTAACAGAAACTTCTAGTGATCATTTCCATTATATATAGAAAAGCTACCGCTCATTGTTTCATACTCAATAAACTGCAAACAAGTTTTCAAATAACTATCTGTATATGATGAAAGTTCATCAAAAAGAGAATTATATTGTATAATTCTAATAAACTTTGGCTCAATCCTTCTGTTGCTGCTATGAAATAACCCTATAAATTTTAGTATAATCTATATAGCTATTGGTCATTTAATATGGTTATTTGAGTATTATCAAAAGAAAATATATATATATAGACTATATATAATATATATATTTTCTTTTGGTGATACTTATTTAAATTTTATAACACCAACTTACCCAACAAACTATTTATTCTTTTATAACTAAAATCCCAAAATACATATAATGGTCTGTAATCCATAATGCATTTACATATATGTAAATATAAATATAAATTAAACGTTATTTTTTCAGGACTATAATTTTTTTTCAATAAGCTTTACTATTTTAAGAAAACATTGGTGAGCTTTCTCCAAACTATCTATAGATATGATTTGGTATAACAAAATAGAATATGCATAAACAAAATAGGTATGAATTTGTTAGTCAATTTCATGCAGCAAGTTCCAAGTAATAGATGTTGCATATACCAGAATAAAAGTCTTCCCTTGGTCTATAATAAACTTTGAAAAGCTTTCACCTATTGCAATTTTGTAAAGAATCCTGCTGATGTTTGTTGGAACCTTTATTTTTTTAGCCTGATTTCCATTATGACAAGATTATGCGGTATTAGAATCCCTTCATCTATTCATAATTTAATAATCTATTTAGCAATACCTAAAAATAGACAATACATTGGGTCTATTACAAGAAATTGAACTGAATTAAAATAAGTGAGATGGTAAATTTCTGACCAATGGACTAAAGTTTCTAATATATACTTTTGCCTTGTATTTTCAGTATTACAATCCTTCCAAGTGATGGTATTTTGACAAATTTTATCAATATTTCTTTCAACAAACCATTCATCTATATTAGCAAATCCACCAAAATTAGGCTGATTCCTTTGGTCAAAATTGGCCCTTTTAAACATCTGTGACAAGCAATTCTGGCTAAAATATGTCTATATAGCTTTCTTGTAGCAGAAATGTTGCAAAACAACATATTATATGGCTCTAATAAATTTGCCTATAGAACTTTCGAAAGTGCTTAACAATTCGACTCCTAAATTTATGTTAATTAGAATAATACTAAAGACTTGGTAGACTAAGTCTATTATAGATAATTCTGTAGAGTTTCACTATCACTAAACTGTGTCATGAGATTACATGACTTGATCAAAATTATATATAATCTCATAACATGTTTAGCGATTGTGAAACTTTACCAAAGGCATCTATAATAGATTTAATCCTATATGATATTAAATTCATTACTTACCATGTCACAAATTGACCAATTGATCAATTAATGGTGCCAAATAATAGTTTAGTTAATTAGTTTAGGTTTGTTGGGTCTGGGTATTAATACCAATATCAATATGTTTGCTAGCTTAAATCACTTATCACATGGAAGATTGTATATAATACTGAAAATTGCTCTGACACTATATAAGAAACTATCAAATGGTTGGAACCAATCTAAGTTAATCATCAAACCCAAATGACGATCTGATAACTCCTTCTGAAAGAATGGTAAATCTTTATTTGGGTTTTGAAAAGTTTTCCAAATTCTTCTGTCAAATATGTCAGAAAGATGCTTAGAGTCATTAAGTCTTTCTGTCTATTTTCTACAAGATGCTCCAAACTCCTTTTGGTTATATAACAACTGAAATTAATGTTTTAAAGACGCCATTAGAAAAATTAATGATGGTCTATATATGATACTTTTTGATATATAAATTTTTTTTGTAACAGGGTAACCGCAAGAGCTTTTTTATCAGTCATTAGATAATTCAAAAGGTCTTGAAAGTACAATAGCTTATTTTAGAAACTAAGCTTGGTTTGGTGTTTGATATATCTGTTACTTTATATAATTTGCAATATTGTTTACATGTTGTATATTTGATTATATAAGCACAGATGCCAAGATTTGTTCGTGATATTTTCAGTAACAAAGATAAGAAAGAGTATATTTTTTTATTATAAAGAATTAAGAGATACTGGATAAATTTTATTAGAGATTTAGTAGCTATATCGGGTAGCTTATACTTTCTTGATATTTTAAAATCTACAAAAGGATTTATACAATACCTTTAAGTATATCTATAGGACCAAAAGATTGTTTTGGTTGTTCTGTTTCTTTCGATATTTTCTGATGCATTAAAACTAATTTTTTAATCAGATAATTCATTATTTTCAATGTCTGATAAGTCTTCAATGACATTTTCTTTGTCAGAGAAAAATTCTCTATGAAAGTAAAATTTGGCATACCTCTTCTTCCCCGTTTTCAACCAGTTTTTTTTACTTTTTAGATTGACTTTTAGTAATGAAACTATAATCTTTTTTACATAAAGAAAAATCTGAATTATTGTCTAAACTATTAATATACATTGGTTCATCAATAGCCAGAAGCTTTTCTGAACTATCAATATGCATTGGTTTATCAATATCTATATTCAGAAGGTTTTCTAGAATGTCTATTTCTGGAAACG